CTTGGGCACGGCGCCGCCGCCGCCCTTACCGGCAAGAGCGGCGGCACGGAGAGCCTCCCGCGGGCAGCGCAGCCTCGGGAGTGCCCGGGACCCCCCGGGCCGCCGCTCTCCGGGGCTGCGAACCGGGCTCGTGTAACACGAAACGTCCCGGCGCCGCCCGGAGCGGGTATATTTGGAAGGGGAGACGTGGCAGGGCCCCAAGGGGATCCCGTTCACCTGCCTGGCTTTGCCCTGTCAAAGCTTTGGCCAGCGGGCCCGGGCATTCCTGGCCAAGAGTAACTTCCTTCGTCTGCTTGGTGAAGGTTTTGGAGGGAAAGCGTCTCCCTGCGGATGTCCTTTTCCTGCTCCTGTATTTTTAAAGGCTGGATAAGCGAGGCTAGGCGTGTAAAAAGCCCCGAAGGAGAAGCGAGCGCCCCAAAGTAAGTGCGTCAAGTGGCAGGGCAGCCACCCTGCCCCCATGGAGCGCTCGGTTTCCGCTGTTTAATGTCTCGCTGACAGCTCCTCTCGGCGCCACCGCTTCAGCTTTCCGTGTTCACAACCCTTCAGTGAGAAGCTGCAGGAGGGTGGGCAGAGCGGAGCCTTCCCCTTCCCTGGTGCCTCTGCCGCGCATTTATTTGCCCTGGCTTCTAAACACCATGAGAACGGTGGCGGTTTCTGCACCTGCGCCCGCCTGCTGTTTGGTTGCCGACCTTGCGAGAGGGCTCTCGAGGGACGTTTGCCCCGGGTGCTGCCAGGCTGCGGCCAGATCCRGAGATGGGGTGCCGAGGAACTCGCCCCGGGGCTTTATGGCTCCCTAATAACGTCAGCGTGTCCTCGGTGTACACAACGGAGAGCGTTTCCTGCCCGCGTGCCTTTCCCCCCGCCCCGCTGGAGTTGCAGGGAGTTAGCGGCCGTCTCTCAGGCTCATTTGCTCGCGATATTCCTAAGGAGTCCCCCAAAAATCCAGCCAAGGGCCCTGCTCGCTAAGGGTTAAAGTGGAAGCGGCGGCAGGATTATGCAACGCTGATCCTGCTGTGGAAAACTGGGCTCACGGATATCTCGTAACTTCTGGCAGCTGATAACAGATTGCTTTTGGAAGTCGCTTTGTTGTGTTTCCCAAGGACTGGAGTTACCTGTCGGGAAAGAGCAACGCTTCAGATCCAGGGAAGTTTAAACGTAGGAATGGGGTCTCGGATCCGCTTCTTGCAGCATAAGCAAAGCCCTCCTGGTCGATTCTGCTGAACAGGATGTATTATTTAATGCCGATAGCTCATGGTGACTATAATCAAATATCACCAAAGGCACTGCAAAATGAAGCTGGAAACAGAAGCTAAAACTTGTACTATATATATATATATATTGCAGATGTGCATCTGGTGTAGTAAATGGGGAAAAATACCCTCTTGAGTGGGAATTAATCAGGTCTTGAAGGTGGTGCAGGTAGGAGTTGCTTAGGAGCCGGGGGGGCGCATGGTGTTTGAGAAACATTTCTCAAAAAGCAGCTTCCCGGGGGAGAAAGGAAGAACCCGTCGTGTTCCCAGCGAGCGCTGGGCGCCAAGAGATCCCTGCGTCATCGCGGCCGGCTCTGAGTGCCCAAGGACAAGGTTTTTCCAAATTAGAAAGGCTTGGGTCTCCCTGAAGAGGGAGATAACGTTGATAATCTTTAATTCCACTGCATAAACTAGTCTTCTGGTGATAAATTGCTTTTTCAAGAGAGCTAGGCCATGTTCCTAGGCTTCACTCCTGCGCCAGGATTATTGGARCAGCTCTCTTGGCTACAGCCTTCCATAAAACTCTTCTCCATAGGAAAGGAAATGCCACTGGCTGGGACTGTTGAGCATTAATATGCTTTGGCTATAGAAATGGTTAAATAGGGCTAGAAGGCAACGCTGCAACAGCACGAGGGCATGTGGGGAATCCGGAACAACTGCCTGTACTCAAGCTAAGGGCCTCGAACAACAAAAAGCACCRAGAACGGCCTCGCTTGCTGTTTCTTTGCTGTTCTGGATGAAGGTTAGTGCTGTTCCCTGGCTCGCATTCACGATTGGTAGTGGTGGGAACTTGSAATCTATTAAGACTTTTCTTCCTGGTTTTAGTCAAGTATAATAGAGTAAGTAGGCAGGAGGCTGCCAGGTAGATAACTTAATGGAAAAGCAGAGAATTTCACAGTGAGCTGAAAAAAAAAAAAAAACCCCAAAAAACCCTCAGTGTGAAGCTCTGCTGTTTTTCTTTTTTCTTTTTTTCCTTTYCCAAAGCAAACTTGCTGAGAAAGAGAAGCAGATCCCAGACCCCCCTTTCTGAYTTTTGTGCTGAGTGCTGAAATTTTGCAGGGCAGCACTTTGTGCTTGCAGAAGTGCCTCAAGTTCCTGCTCTCTCTGATAAGATCCAGTTCGCTGCGGCGTGCGGAGGGCTGAGCCTGCGACGTAAAATGTTCTTAAACCATCTCCCCTACCCAGCTGGGTGCGAGCAGCCGAGTCACCGACCTCTTTGCTAACAGAGCAGACCCGAATTCAAAAGTCCTGCCTGTACACAGGATAAACATGCGGGTTCTGGTGGGTTCCAGGAGTCCGGTTATCCGTATTTGCTCTGCAGGAGCTGCCCGGGCAGCTCCATTCTAGGCTTAGAGCCGCCTGCGTCTCCGGGTGCAGGTTGGTGACAGGTCAGTGCAGGCCGGGCAGTTGCCCGGCTGTCACATGCGGTTACCCCCGTCCCCACGGGGTCACCGGGCGCTCTTGTCCCTTCTTCGCTCYTCTTGGATCGCTCGGTCCTCGTGGGGCAGCAGCCTGGCAGGCTGAAGCAGAGCCCCCTGCGGAGCCTTGGAAGCACCGAGTGCGGAACAGGGATTTTTCTCCTGATCATCGCTTCAGATGGAATCTCTTTGCCCCGAGGTGGGACAGCAGGAATTCTAGGCCGGATGCCATCACTTTGATTGGAGATTTGGGACTTTGTGAATGCCCTGGGCTTGGATCAGGTGTTTGTCAGGAGTGCTGGGGTGGCCTTCCTGCTTAGGCATGGCTTCCTTTAGCCATGAAGGGGTTTAGGCCTCTTCTAATGTCACTTTGAAGTGACCAAGAGCCTCAAACCCAGGCCCCTGTTTAGTTCTTCCTCCTTTCCCAGCTGTTTCCAAGTTGTGCATTCCAGGACTTTGCAGGAAGTTTGTTGGACCAACAGTGGCAGTTTTAACACTCAGGCGTTAAAAATGCCCTAATTAGGCCTGTGASTTCAGCCAGCTGTAGTGACCCTGCAATGTGGCTCGAGGTAAAACTGCRATGTTAGGAGGGTTCCTTTATGGGGCTGCTCTGCTGCAGGCTGGGAATTGCTTCCAAAACAGCCTCTGGAAATGCTCTCTGTGCAGCGGGGAGGATTTGTGCTGAACCCAGAGCTACCTAAACCTCAGCGTTGGGCTCCTACTGAGAAATAAATCTGCTTGAGGAGAAACCGAGGCGAGCGGAGCGAAACGGCTCGGTCGGATCAATTAGTTTGTGCCGACGGTGAATTGGATCAGCTGAGGGCCAAGGAGAACGACTCTTAATAAATCCTTCAAATCTGGGGGATAAACTTCCCGCGGCGGAGCAAAGGGAGCACTTTCTGCCCATGGATCGCAGCACAGCCACGCGGCGGCTCTCGCCTCTTGCAGGGGCCCCCAAGGGGCTGTATTAATGCCAGTATTTCTCTCTCTTTCTCTSCAGGCTGGTGGTAAAGCTGGAAAGGACAGCGGGAAGGCCAAGGCCAAGGCGGTGTCGCGCTCCCAGAGGGCTGGGCTGCAGGTAACGTGGCGCGGCGGTGTCTGTTGTAGAGCCTGCGAGCGGCCAACGCGATGGCTGCGCACTTATTATTGGCCCAAAGTACCCGTGTACAGCGTAATCTTGCCTTGACTGCCATAAATATATTTATAGAAGGCTATAGCTTCTAAGACTGTAAGCGAAGCACTTGGATGCTCGCCCAAGGAGTATGTAAAGATAGTGACACTTCTAATCTTAAACTAACCTACAGAGTGGTGTCTCTTTTGAGCATTTAAGTGCCCAAGTTGCTAGCGCTGTTGAAAGCAGGCCTGCAGGCGGGTTGGGGAGAGGGCGCATCCAGCACAAGCGCTTCCACCGCCATCGTTTGGCACCAAAACGCTAAGCCTGAGGTCGGTGCCTTGCTGTTAATCCCTGTCTYGACTCTTTTCGCTGCAGTTCCCGGTGGGCCGTATCCACAGACACTTGAAGACTCGCACTACGAGCCATGGGCGAGTGGGGGCCACCGCAGCCGTGTACAGCGCTGCCATCCTCGAGTACCTCACTGCCGAGGTGGGTCCTGCAGGCAGAGCGCGGCGCGCGCAGCACACCGGGAGCCGCCCCGGCCGCGGGGACGTGGCCGTTTGTTTGTCACCCTCCCTGCTTGTCCCTTGAGATTAGCCTTGCTGGGTGTGAAATTGTTTGCGTCGCCGTCTGGAGCAGGGCTGTGAGTGCGGGGAGGCGCCAGCGGCTCCTGCCTTGGCTGGAAATTGCAGGAAAATGCGTCGGGCTCCCAGGCACCGTTTAGATTTTGATATTAAAAAAAAAAAGGCTTCAAGGGAAGTGTTCTTGAGTACATCTTGTAAACAGAAGTGATGCTGATGAAAAAATGGACTCTGGTTTCCCAGTGTGGTGCAGGGTGTGCCTRGTAAACCCGTTATCAAACTGGGCAGGACAGGAGGGGATATTGATTGCTTAATTAACACTTTCCAGTCGAGATCCGTGGAGTCCGGCGGGCTGCCCRGACCAGGCTTCGACTCTGCGGCTCTGGTCAGGCGCTTCCTGCCTCCCGCTCGGGGCTGATGCGGTGTCCCTGTCACTTGGCAGGTGCTGGAGCTGGCAGGCAACGCCTCCAAGGACCTCAAAGTAAAGCGCATCACTCCCCGCCACTTGCAGCTCGCCATCCGTGGCGACGAGGAGTTGGACTCGCTCATTAAAGCCACCATTGCCGGAGGAGGTAGGTACCGTCCCGCCGCCCCGGCCGAGCCCGCCCGCCCTTCATGTCGAGCCTGCTGCAGCCGGCTCGCTCTTTCCCGGGCCCACATGTACAAATCCTGCCTAAAAAAACACCCGTGTCCTCCTTAGCAACTGGCAAATTGCCTCCCACTCCAGAATAATCCGATCAGTGTAGGGAGAGAGTCGCCTAAAATCCCCCCGGAGCGCTCGGCTCCGAGCGTGTCGTGATGTTCGCAGGAGTCCCCAGTGGGCTGGTGTTTGTCACCTCACCTAGTGCCTTGTGAAGTGACAACGTGTGACTCAGCGGGTGGGAGGGAATGGGCTCCAGCTGAAGTCCGTGCTGGATTAGGGGCTACAGGGAGATTTTGGATGGGAGGAAAGGGTTTTGCAGAGCTCTTCCAAGAAATGCGGTGGGTTTTTGGGAATGTGGCTCCCTGGAAATCCTCCTAATGTGTTGTTCTCTCCACAGGTGTCATCCCCCACATCCACAAGTCTCTGATTGGGAAGAAGGGACAGCAAAAAACTGCGTAGAGAGGAGTTTCACCCACCCCTCTTCCTCCCTGTCATCGTACTGTAACTGGGGCAGAAGATATATTGGGGATACGTGGAATTTTTTAAGGAAATAGTCAAATGGAAGAGCATAGGCAATTGACTGTAGACAGGAGCAAACCATTTGTATGTTCTTTAGATTCAAAGTTTGACAAAAAAAGAGAGAGAGAGAGAGAAAGAAAACCCCTTTGTCCCCTGGCGGCAATTCATGTGGTGATTGGCTAGGCTTCTCCCGTGTGTTTTATACGAAAATGGAATGGATTAAAGCAAAAACAAACATTTTTTACAAAACGTCTGCCTGCGTGGCCGTGTGTGGGGAGCRGACACCCCAAGTGCCTTCCCCCCCCCCGCAGCTCCTGCTTCCCCCGGGCACCTTCCCGCCYGAAATGCAAATGTAGCCCCGCCCCCGTGCTACGCGCGCGGCGGGAGGGGAGGGGCGATGGGCGCAGGCTCCGCCCCYTTGGATGCTTCCCCCCCACCCCACCYCGGGCCCTCTGGGGACACGCGGGGACACCCAGGACCYGCGTCCCGGCCGGGACGCGGGTCCTGGGTGTCCCCGCGTGTCCCCAGAGGGCCCGGGGCGGGGGGCTGGGTGCCCATCCTCGGTGCTGGCAGCCCCTGACGGCGCCGCGGTCACGCGGAGCCCCACACGGCCGGTCAAAGCGATGCCCCTAAGGCAGGGGAGCCCCGGGGAGCAGGGTGGCAACGGGGAGCGCGGCTCCCGGTGACCCTGGCCCCGCAGTGACGSCTCCACCGGGAGCAGCAGGAGGGCCGCACGCTGGCAAGAGCGGCGCCCGGTTGCATCASGCAGGTGCCCTAATGCGATTTGGCCGTCGCCATGGCAGGGGCCCCACGGCCAGGAGGATAATCCCGCTGGCGCCGCTCGGCCCACGCGCCGCACCGGGGGCTCGCGTGGCTTTGCACCCCGGCCTCGTCGCCCGACCCGCTGCTCCCCTTGGCGGAGGCGCGGCGGCCATTTGCGAGCAGGCGTTGGGGTGACGTGGGCGCGAGGCGGGCAGCTCCCGCGGGGC